CGGTCACGCGCCCACGGAGACCGCGCAGGCGAAGTTCATCCACAAGCAGACCTCCCCTAAACCGCAGTACGGAGGGTTCCTCCACGGTGTCAGGGACATTGTTCCGGACCAAGGGCTGAAAGAGACCTACCGGGCCCTCCACGTCCCACCACGCCATGCGCTTCTTCGGCAGGACCCTCTTGCGCAACTGGTACCGTGGGTCCAACGCCAAGGAGCCCCTGCAACCGCTGATCACGGGGCGTTCGCGCTCTCGCGATGGCAGCCAGTGCCTCCGGGGACGCTGCTCCGCACCCGGTCAGAGTAAGTTGTCAGGAGTAGCCACCAATAACATCATAAACGGGTTTTATGCCAGATTAAGTAGGTTAAATTTAAGTCTGTGGACAAGGCATAATTTATGACCACAGTCAAGATACAGAATAGAATATTCCCAGCACCTAAGAAGTTCACTTGTGCTCGTTTGCAGTCAGTTATATCCCTTGACCTCATACCTGAAACTGCTGATCTGATTTCTGTCACTACAGTTTAGCCTTTTCTAGAATTTCATATAAATAGAATCGTATAATGTACAGTCTTGTCACTTAGCAAAATGTCTGCATATATTGGTCATTTCTTTTTATTGGGTATTCCATTATATCGGTCTATCACAACAGTTTATTCACTAGTTGAGAGACATTTGGATTGTTTTCAGTTTTGAACTGCTATGATTAATTTTGCTTTCACTTACAAGTTTTTGTGCAAACGTATCTTTTTGTTTGTCTTGGGTAAATACCCTGAGGTAAAATTTCTGGACCATAATACAAATATATGCTTGACTTCATATGATATACCAAACTGTTCCTTAAAGGTGCTGTATCTTTTGAAATTGCATTAACAGCATATGACAATTCTGTTGTTCTGCATCTGTGCCAAAGCTTGGTATTGAAAATCTTTTTTATTTTATTCATTTTAATGGGTATTTAGTCATATCTTGTGCTTTGTTTTGCTGGAAAACACAATTTATTAACACATTTTAACAAATAGCATATATAGAAAATAACCAACACATATTATTATCTATAACTTAACAAATATTCTAAAATGCCCCAACCAGTTCCAACGGATTGTCTTTTTTTTTTTTAAATTCTTACTAAGATGTAATCCATATGCCATACAGTTGCCCCACTTAAAGTTTAAAATTGAATGTTTTTAGTGTATTCACTAAGCTAGCTAAGCATGTGTTAGTGGTAACTACTAATCTGATCTCTTTTTCTGTGACTTTGTTTTTGAAGTATAAACGGCCTACAACACTATGTTAGTTCCTGATGCATAACATAATGATTTGATAGTTCTATACATTACAAAATGATCACCAGGATAAGTCTAGTTACTGTCTGTCACCATACAAAAATTTTGGGAGGTGGGAAAATTGAATGAAGGTAGCCAAAAGGCAAAAACTTCCACTTATAAATAAGTACAAAGGATATAAAGTACATGATAAATATAGTTAATAATACTGTGTTATATATGAAAATTGTTAAGAGTAAATCCTAAGAGTGCTCATCACAAGGAAAATTTTTTTCTCTTTTTCTTTTCTTTTGTATCTGTGTAAGATGATGGATATTCACTAAACTTATTGTAGAAATAATTTGTGATGTGTGTAAGGCAAGTCATTATGCTGTACACCTTAAACATTGCCTCCATGTCAATTATATGGCAAGAGCTGAAAGGAAAAAAATGCTACACACACAAAAAAATCCTGCAAACAGTAAGAATTTTACTTCTTCCTTCTCAATTTGGATTCCTTTTCTTTCTTTTTCTTGTGTGATTGCTATGGCTGAAACTTCCAATACTATGTTGAATAAAAATGGTGAGAGTGGGCATCCTTGTCTTGCTCCTGATCTTAGAGGAAATGCTTTCAGCTTTTTTACCATCGAGCGTGATGTTAGCTGTGGGCTTATCATATATGAACTATTATGTTGAGTTTCCCTCTGTACCCACTTTGTGGAGAGTTTTTATCATAAATGAATGTTGAATTTTATCAGAAGCTTTTTCTGAATCTATTGTGATGATAATATGGTCTTTATTCTTCAGTTTGTTAATGTGGTGTATCACATTGATTGATTTGTGGATAGTGAACCATCCTTACAACCCTGGTCAAGGTTACATCCATAAACCCTACTTGACCATGGTATATACTTACTTTTAACGTATTGTTGGATTCAGTTTGCTAATATTTTGTTGAGGCTTTCTGCATCTGGCTCATGAGTGATATTGGTCCTTTTTTTGTGATATCTTTGTCTGGTTTTGGTATCAGGATGATGCTGGCCTCATAGAATGAGCTTGAAAGCACTCTTTCCTCTATAATTTTTTAGAATAATTTGAGGATAGGTGTTACCTTTTCTCTAAATGTTTGATAGAATTCGCCTGTGAAGCCATCTGGTCCTGGACTTTTTTGTTCCTTGGGATTTTTTTGCCTGTAACTCCCAGACACTCAAGCCAACAATTTCTGCTTAGAAGTAGTTCCAAATATGGCAAGCAGTGGGGCCTTTTTGGTCTTTAAAGTGTAACTAGGCAATGCATTGGAAGTGGAACTATTTTCCCAGAGAACCAGTAAAAATTAATGCACTACTTCAAAGAATTTATCATGCAGCTTTTATTTATCACTTAATATCTTCTTGGGTAGGGGAAAGATTTTCCTTTCAACGCCATCACATGCTTAGCTAGCTTAGTACATATTGCAGAAGATTCTATGAAGACTTTGCATATAAAATACAAAAATCTGTTACATATACATCCATTTAACAACAGTCTGTACATTACAATGAGTGCCAGTGTCAAAATAAGTCCCTGTACTTAACAAGCAGCATGAATATATTGTGGCAGCAGCAGATAGAAACTTCCCCCAACAGTGTTCACACAGTGCAGTTGCTACAAGAGCACAGACCAACACGGTCATATCTGTTTTCTTTTCTTGTTAGTGAATACACACATAAAAGATGGAAGGGGAAAGCAAAGGGGATCTGGTGGCAGTTTTATTGTGCAGGACACTGTATTACAGGCAGACACACTGGCAACTGTAAGTTGGATACAAACATCAATTAAAGAAACTGCTGCTCTTTATCACCAAAAAGACAATTTTATACTTTGTTTTGATTTCCAATTGCCCAATTTCAGGTAACTCCTTTTCACATATCGATAAATTTGCAAAGATATATCTAGCGCACTAATTCCAGGAATAAGGAATTCAGTAGATTCTCTAAATCAGTTGCTTATATGACAGCAGCACTGAATATTCCTAGGGAAAAAAAATAACAATAAAATTTTGTTTCAGATAGCTTTGGAAAATAAAGGCCAAAGATATAAATGTACATGGGTCCTTTTGCCATCCGTTCACTAATATCAACATTCCACAGTTACAAACTCTCAGTTATGAACTCTTTTAAAGAAATACGTGTGCGCACGCACACCAAACACAAGCTGCTTTGGGAGACCATGATTAACGTTACCAGTTGTGCAAGTGACTTGGCTGGTCAAGATGAAGGCATTAAGTATAAAACTTAGAAACGTGCTTAGAAAACTAAAACAAATTCATTCAGCAGCACTCAGCACTATGGTTCAAGCATCTTAGCACCTCTCTCAGCACCATGGGAAATTCCCAGTATTGAATAACAAAAAGTTTAAAAAGCGGAAGGTCTGATGAGGTTTTGAACTTGATATGGGTCAAGAGTATAATTCTTGCCCTTATACTCTTCCTTTCTGAAAATACCTGACCTGCATCACATTCTCGCCTAGGAGCAGGGTCCTAGGTTCTGTAGATGAAAGTCAGAGGGCACTTAGTGGAGGGGGAAGTACTGACCTGGAGAATACCAAGTCCTATGAGGACGTAAGCTTTCTGAAAAACATGCAGAGTTGACTCCTTTCCCCAAGCAAACACCCTTCTCAAGTGGAAGTTCATGATATTATACTTAAAATTCATGAGGCTACTAAAATTCACAATTATATTTCGTATCAGCTAAGAGGATGTTTTGATTAGTAAACACTGAAATTTTCACTTGTAAACCCCTTTTCCAACCAGAAGCAACCCCAGAACAGAGCACATACAGTTACGTTTAGGTACTATCTCTGGCAGTGTTTTTCAAACCATAAATAGCAACGCATTTATGGGTCAGGAAATGAATTTAGTGGGTCTGAAGAACATTCAAAACAGTGGTGGGGAGTGGTGGGGCTCAGGGATCAAAGCATACCACACATAGTATGTATCACTTCACAAAGCATTTTATTTCAATTCCAGATTTTATATTCATTCCCCTCTCTCTCTCTCTCTTTCTCACACAGACACACACACACACACAAACACACACAAACGCATACATACTGCGTCACGATGTAAAAAGTTATTTCTACTATGGGTCACAGTCAAGAAAATTTTAAACACTTTGGTTACTAGAGACCACCTAAAATAATAAACTTGGAGTTTTCATCCTGATATCAATGTCAGTAAGGGGTCAGTATTGACTGTACACCAACTTCATGCTTCGAATCCAGTGTGAGCTAGAGAGTTCTCAGTTTACCTTAATATTAAATACTTAGGTTAAACTTGTGTTTTCCCCTTATCCTGCACCTTTAGGCAGGGGCATGAGCAGTGTAAGGAAAGCAGGAAACCCAAGCTGCAATTATCTACTGTGAATGGTGTCGTGTTATCCCCAGATGTCTAATTAAAATGCTTTCCTTTCTATCCCATAGTCATACTGTTAGCATAAATGGTGGGTAGAAAGTTTTAATTTGTCTTTACAGTTTTTGAGATTAGAAATGATCTAAACCAAAGCAGTCATGACTTCATTGTTGGTTTGGGTTTTGCAAAATACACAACCACAGATACAGACAGAATGAACAATCTTGTCCTAATCTATGTTCATCTGCTTGTAAAAGGAAGACGATTAGAATTGTAACATGGAGACCAAACTTCCCCTCTCAACCTGTAAAGCTGGTAAATAATCATTTTTTAAAAATCAGTCATCTAAACAAATAACAAGACAACGTTCAAGCTTCTGAATTGCAGGAGTCCAACAGTGCTCATGTAATGGGTCAGTTGAGGTCTGGTGCAAGGACTGTTGCACCGTCTCATCTTGGGGGTTTCTCAGGTGGGCCAGGGTTAGCACCGACTGGGTAGGTCATCAG